CTTCCTTCCTTCCTTCCTTCCTTCCTTCTTTGCCTTCTAAACCTTTACATTATCTAAAGCATTCCCAATGCTTTAATTCTTCATTGGATTTATACTAGATTTTACCTCAACCTAGAATCATGTAGACAGCTTTATAGTGGATTTTTTTTTTAACTTGGGTGCCTGGTAGACATGACAGACTTAACATGACCCGACCCTAAAACTTTGGGGTCTTTTCCCAGCTCTGTCTATGACCTTGACTTCTACTCTAAATAAACAGTACAACTGTTCACCTAGAAAAAAAAAGTGGTCCATATGTCTTCATTTCAAATATTCATTCTTCTGCCTCCACTTTCCCACTGCTGGGATTACAGGTCTGTGCTACCATGTCTTGCATATACAGTGCTAGGGATAAAACTTGGACTCATTGATGCTAGAACAGCACTCTTCTGGGTAGACTACATTCCACATCCACCCTCTTGTTGATTCTTTAAGAACACAAAAAGAATATGCTTTGCTTTTCAATGATGTTTCTTAATTTAGCTCCACTGCACATTTTGCAATTAGAGTCTCAGTGCTAAACTTGAGTTTTCATTTTGATAAGAGTTTTTATGGCGTTGTTTTTGCTTTTGTTTTTCTGTACTGTTGGTATTTCAGTGGGATGCACAGATAAAGATTACTTTTTACAAAGAAAAAATACTAAATGTCACCATTGAGCCAGACTTTGTTTGGCTTTCAGCTGAGATTCTATGCATCAATCGAGTTGAATAAAGTTGCTGGGCGGTGGTGGCGCACGCCTTTAATCCCAGCACTCGGGAGGCAGAGCTAGGCGGATCTCTGTGAGTTCGAGGCCAGCCTGGGCTACCAAGTGAGTTCCAGGAAAGGTACAAAGCTACACAGAGAAACCCTGTTTCAAAAAACAAAAAACAAAAACAAAACAAAAAAATAAAGTTATAGTATTATAGGAGAGACAGGTTGTGGGTCATTAATAGTTAAATACAAAATGGATAACATATATTACTAGGCATCTCTCAGCTCTCTCTTATGCATGTAAGTATTAATGGAATTTAGGTCATAAGAAGTAAGAAGAAGGTATCCAGAAATTCTTTACATGATACTTAGAATTTGAGGTTTTCATGTTATGGGCTATCTATACATACAACAATGATTGATGTAATACTGCCACCAAAAACTTCGATTTTATAAGTGCATAAGAATTCACATTTAAAATATATTCATGATTAAAATACATGAGACTCTTTAGGTTTCCTGTGTATAAAAATTGACTATATTGTACTGACTGTGAAGGGAAAGCCAATTTTCATGGCTCCTGTCAGTCACATGTGGTTTGGAAATGTTTATGCATTCCAGATGTACTCAGTGTAAACTGGAGAATCATATCCTATTTCCACTGGCTTGCATGCATGCATATAAAACTTGTTTTTCTCACAGTGCCACATGAGAATACATGGAGAACTAGCCTCAGTGATCACAATTAATTAACTTCCTTCTTGAACTTTCACAGCTATGATGCTGAGAGCAAGTCTGGTCCTTCATGTTTACAGAGGCTGTAACTTCTGCTTTGTTGCTTTTCTTGTTCAATTCTGTTCCACAGAGCATTAAAAACAAACTGTTGTGTAACATAAGTTTCTCAGACCTACTATGTATCAGGTCCTCTGCTAGGGACTAACAAATACTCAGCAGGACTTTCACTGCAGGGAGGCCAGAGTTCGATGTGAAAGAACACTCAGTAAACAAATTATTACCACACAATTCAGTAGTCACCTTGGTCCAGCTTGTGTTATATATTATGACCTATGGAAACAATGAAGAAATTTGACAGAGCTTCACAGGATGGGCGTCCTGATGACAAGGTTTGAGATGAGGTTTGAGATGACAAGGACTGGACAGCATTCAAAGAGTAGGAACAGTATGTGCACAGACTCTTGAGAAAACATGATTCAAGGACCTGAGAAAAATTCTGTCTAGCTTAAAGCCAGACAAAGAGCCAATACAGAAAATAATTTGAAAATGTACGAGAAAGATGTGATGACTATGAAAGACTATGATATTTTAAGAGTATGCATTTTGTGTTAAGGTTTGAAGGCATCTTCTCATTAAGAAGACATAGAAATCATGAATGAGCTACCTAATGATACAATTTCCAATATCCAGACTGTCTCTCACTGTGTTATGCTTCCTGACACTTAACACAATACCTGGAGTCTAGTTAATGCTCAATTAACACAAGCCACAATCACTGCAAGTAATACATAGCCTCTCGGATGTCCCCATGGATCTGTGACATTTATACAGACCCTCTCCCTGATTACCAGCTAGACTAGTTGACTAAGTTTTAGTGAATAAAGTATGTTAGAAGTAGTGAGCTGTCACTCCCAACATTAGGTTATAAAAATTGTGGCTTTCTCTTAGGAAATTTTAGAAGTAGTCATCATCTCTGGACCTCTTTTTCTCTTGGATCATTAGCTACCATGTCTAAGACACTCAAACAGTTTATGAAGTGTCTTACGTGCAGCAAACTGAGTAACACTTACACAAGACTGCCCACTGTTCATATCCATTGGGGGTATATCTTCTGAGGCTACCAGTCACCATAGTAATGGACTTTGAAGTGATTTCCCCAACTTCCTTTGAACCTTCAGGTAACTGTAGCCTTGGCCAACAGCTCAATCACACTCTTATAAGAGAGCCTAAGCTTAAAGCACCTCTCTGAAGTACAACTAGACTTATCATCCACAGAAACCATGTCATATCAAAATGTTGAATCACTACATTTTGGTATGGCTTGCTATACAGCAGTAGAAAAACAGTATATTTGTTGTGGAACAATCTTTTTGTACACTATGAATATATATTACTCTCATTGGCTAATAAGAAGCTGATTTGTCAATAGCTGGGCAGGAAAGGATTGAGTATGAGCCAGACTAGGAGAATGCTTAGTAGAGGAAGGGTGGAGTCAGAGGAGTTGCCAGGAGACTCAGAAGGAACAAGACAAGCTGGAGGACAGGTAAAGCAAGGAACCATGTGGAAATACATAGATTAATAGAAATGGGTTAATTTAAATTGTAAGAGATAGTTTGTAATAAGCCTGAGCTACTGGCTGAGCATTTGGAATTACTATTAGCTTCAGTGTGTTTATTTGGGAACTGGCAGGTGGGAGAGAAACGTCTGACTACATATAGTACTATCTATTAGTAGATAATCAAACACAGGCCCAAGCATGGCAAATGGGGCACTAAGAGGTTTTGCCCTTTACCCTTCTTTCCCTTGCTAAAAGCCTTTAGATTACATTCCTAAAGCTAGGCCCCAAGGTCCATTCCTTTATTTGGTCACTGACTTATTCCTGAGACAAAACACTGAGATCCAACAATCAACTTTCATTATTTGGCTAGCATGTTCAATAAGGATTTGCCAACTCACTCTAGCACAGACTTCTCCCTTTTCTCCTTAAAAACCCACTCCTGGAAAAACAAACATACACACACTTGCAGCTCTATCCTGCTGCTGCTGCTGCTTACTGTTGGCCTTTGCATCTTCCTTACCCTGTTTGCACGCCCCCCCTTACCCCACCCCCCGACACCATCCTGGGGAGGAGGGGGTAATAAATCTCCTTTGTGCTAAGAACTTGGTGTTTGGGTGTGCCCTGACCAAGGGGCTAACCTCCATTACAGGTTCTGTACAAGATGATGGGGCATTGCTTGGAACCCCAGCTTTTGTGATTAGGTTCTGGTCACCTAGCAGGTGGTTCCACCTCCCACTCTAAGGAAATGAATTTGTTACCCTTTGGTTCCACTAATCTATTAGACCATTGATAGAATCATTCTATCCTGACTGCATCATAGATTGTTTAATTCAGTGTCCCCTACCTCCAAAAGTAGGGATAGGAATACTTTGAAGTATAACCCTTCTTCTAGCTGCTGTAAGGAATCCAGAGGCCCTCATCTCTCCAGATGATGAAAATCACAAATGTCCGCAGAAAGGCACATGGAGCTAATAGATTCCCAATGTCCATATGTGACCCCAAATGATTATGTGAAATGCCGCCTTAGGAAGTAATTCTTAGATTTGCTGAATACACTTTCCAGGTGGGAACAAGTGGATAAATATAGATTGCTTAGGGAACATTGATTTTTTGGCACAAAACTTTTGGCAGTTCATATAACAATGTTGATTTGAAGTCAATGACTTTATATGTAAAAAAGATGTTAAGACCTTGTGAAGATGTTAAATATTTACCCCAAAAAATTATACTCAACAAAGGAAAGAAACAAATATCTGAAAAACCCAAATTTGACTTCTATTTGTTAGTCTTTGCTTGATTCTTAGGACTTCTGTGGTGATATGGTGTTGTACTCTAATAAAATTCGCCTGAAGATCAGAGGACAGAGCCAGTCACAGAGTTAAACATAAAGGTCAGGCAGTGGTGGCACACACCTTTAATCGTAGCACTCGGGAGACAGAGATCCATCTGGATCTCTGTGAGTTCAAGACCACATTGGGCTACATAAGATTGATCCAGTCTTGGAGAGAAACAGATCTAGGCAATGGTGGCACGCACCTTTAATCTCAGTATTTAGGAAGAACACACACCATCAATCCCAGCACTAGGAAAGTTGAGATAGGAGTGAAATGGCTGGGCATATAAGGCATGAGGAGACAGGAACTAGAGGCCCTTTCAGCTGAGGACTCAGGAGTATTCAGTCTGAGGATTCTTAGAGACAGGATCTTGCCTTCCTTTCAGCCTGAGGATTTGGTAGATGTGAGAAGTGGCTATGGCTTGTTTTCGCTGATCTTTCAGCATTTACCCCAATATCTGGCTCCAGGTTTTTATTATAAGACCATTTAGGATTCGTGCAACAGACTTTTTGGCAGTTCTTAAATCTGTCTTTTCAGTTAATGATTAAGCAGCCACTGTATAACACTATGAGCCTAAATAGTAGCAGTACATTACAGTCACAGTGGAGGTGGGAGGCGGGGGGGGGGGGGAATTATCTCTGTACCTGTGTCCCTGATGATTTTTCTCTGAAATGCAGTTTCTGGGAGCTGAAGAACTGGTGTGGGAGGATGTCCTTAGAGCCACTGCTGAGATGCCCACCAATGGGGATGAAAAATTCAGCAGCATGGAAGAAGTGTGGTGGGGGTAGACATTCGCCTGATGGCTCACATTGATAACCAGTGGATTATGATGACATGACAGTTCATAGGTTCCTGAGGAGAAATAAGGTCGTGAACACTATTCTGAGCCATTAAGTTAGAACCACGTAGAACCTGTTTATCTTCTCTATAGCTATGTAACATGCAAGACCACAAACATTTTCAGAGGTCAACATCCAACTGACTCCTCAGTCTATTGAAATAACTCCTAGTAGCTCTAAAGAAGTAATTCTCAACTCACCAAGAGAGTGGTTGCTCCCACTGGTATCAACCAGGTAGAGGGTCACTGTTGGCCGCTGATGCTCCCCAGGGGCCAGGCCATCAGATGCCAAGAAAAGGAAAAGTGCCACTGCCACTCCTGGTCTATCGAAACACACCTAGGTACAAGCACACACAGTAGGAGCAATTATTTTCACAGACAATCGAGGCATGTGTCTGTCTTCTCTCTCTATCATTCCCCAGAAGTTCTTCTTTGAAAGTAAGAGCTTTGTTCTCCTCTGCAATGGAAAACATGGAGTAAGCACAGCAGCATCCAAGGTGACAGCATGATGAGGTGGCGGAGATGGAAAATCATGGGTAGCTGCTGAGCATCCTTTCTCCAAACTGTGGTAGGATCACTGTTTTATTCACTACAACTTGTTTTTGCTTGTTTATTTTTGATTTTATTCTTTATTTCTGACATTTAACATGTAAAAAAATTACTATTCATCTTGTGTATGCCTGGAATAGTTTTTATTTTATATTATGGATGCTTTCTGTAACATGCTGAATGTGCTCCTTTCAGTAAAAACTCAAAATCTGATCATTTTTTAACAACTTAATTCTATTTTTTCAGTTCTTTTTTTAAATAATTTTTTATTAAAAAAAAGATTTTCTTTCCTTTTACATACCAACCTATTACCCCTCCCTCCTCTTCTTCAACTCCCCCCACTTTCCCCCATCCCTCCTCATAGAGGGTAAGGCCTCCATTGGGTAGTCAACACAGGTTGTTATACCAAGTGGGGACTAGACCTAGACCTGCATCAAGGATGAGTAAGGCATTGCACCATAGGGAATGGGGTCTAAAAAGCCAGTTTGTGTACCCAGGATAAGTCCTGGTCCCATTGCCAGGAGACCCACAAACTTTGAGAGAGGTTGTCATGTAGATCAGGCCACACTGAAATTCACTATTTACCCAAGGGTGATATTGAACTCCGGATTGTCTTGCTTCCACGATTCAAATAATGGAGTTACATGCACGAAACACCATGCCCGGTTTGGAGCTGTCTTTTTAAATTTCTCAAGAAAGCATTGGTAGAGATAATAATCCTCTATGTACTAATCAATACAACTTCTACACTAAAGTGAGAGAAGTAGACAAGATGACCAATGACCCAGCATCAGTAAACAAGCTAATTTCTTCTGCTCTGTCCCAAGATGAGACTAGGTATCCCTAGTTATTCTCCAGGCTCCCTGCCTCCTACCTACTTCCTCAGAACTTCTCATTTACCAGGTAAACTGTGACTTTGGAGAGAGGCTGTGGTGTTTTGAATGAGAATGGCACCATAGGCTCATATATTTGAATGCTTATTTACCGGAGAATGGAACTTCTTGAAAAGATTAGAAAGATTAGGAGGTGTGGCACTGTTAGAGGAAATGTGACACTGGGGGTGGGCTTTGAGATTTTTAAAAAGCCCAAGCCAGGCCCAGGCCCAGTCTCTTTCCTCCCCCAACCCCATCCCTCACCTCCCTCTCTCTCTCTCTCTCTCTCTCTCTCTCTCTCTCTCTCTCTCTCTCTCTCTCTCTCTGCCTGGGGAATCAGGATGTAACTCTCAGCTACTTCTCCAGCACCGTGCCTGCCTGCCACCATGCTCTACACCACGAAGATAATGGACTAAGCATCTGAAACTGTAAGGCCCAATTAAATGCTTTCTTTGATAAGAGTTGCCTTGGTCATGGTGTCTCTTCACAGCAATAGACAACTAAGGCAGTGGACTAAGACAGCCGCTATCACACAACCTGTTGTCTTTGAGGTTAAAACATGGCAAACTTCTTGTGCAACTTCCTTTGTGTCTCAAGCTTAAGTATCTGCCCCTTGCTTGAAACAAGCCAACTCTGAAGCAAGAAAAATTCAGTAGTATATATGTCATATTCTGAGGTGACAGATTCCACAATAGCCTTTCAGAGTAAACTATGAAAACTTTGTCCCTGGGAATCTTTTAAGAGGAAATAAAACATATTAAAGGTTCAGGGATGAACTATAGACATTCACTAGCCACTGCTAAGAATTCAGATTGTATGCTTCTTTTCCACACTGGACTTATTTAATATAGTAATTGTACTATTGTTTTATTTCATATACCTGAGCATCACTTCTAATTTTCATTGAGAATGACCCTTAAATTTTCCTGCTGTGATGTGGATGTTACAATCTTAGTATCTAGACCTAACAAAGTTTGCTGTGCATTTAAAAATATTAATTTTAATTTTTGAGATTATATTATCAATACTATACATGAATTCTCCCTTTTCTTTTCTCCCTCCAAACATTCTCATATGCTCCTCCTAGCTATTTTTCAAATTCATGGCCTCTTTTTTCATATATATATATATATATATATATATATATATATATATATATGCTGGCATATATACATACATACGTATATATGTCAGATTCTATAATAGCATCGTAGTCATTGTTTTATATATCTATATCTATATGTGTGTGTGTGTGTGTACCACCTGCTCAGTCTGTGTAATGTTACTTGTATGTATGTCTTCAGGGATGACTGTTGTGGCTTTTTCTTGGGTTCTAAACATGCTGTAGTTCCAGCATAGAACACAGCATATCTAATTGCAGGGCCCTCCTCTGTAGTGGGGAGAAGACTAAAAACATGTTTTCCATTTTAACAAGAATTCTTTTTTGTGGACAGACTCAGGTTTCCCGATTCCTGGCAGCTTGCTTATAGTGTCTCCTAGCACTTCTGCCTTAATTAGAGCGAGTTTACAATTCTCAGTGGTCAAGGCAGCACAGCTCTCCCTTCGTCCTTCCCACCTTTGTGGGAAATTCCAGGTTCACTCTTTCCACAGTGTCTCCCCTACTCTCTTTTCATTTCCCTTCTTTGAAGTAATAAATATTCCTTTATAACTTCAAAAACATCCAGTCACATAGGTTACAGCTTCTAAAATGAAAATCAAGTCTTCTATCCTTGGATGGCCAAGGGCTAGACATAAAACCATCCGAAGGAAACCAAGAGTCTAGCTCAAAAAGCACTTGACCCCAGTAGCAAATGACATCAAAGCCTCCTGGGACCTCCCCATAGCCTCTTCCTTTCCATGTACCACAACAGAGACCTGAGACTGGAAGACAGCTCATTTCCTGAGCCAGAAACAAGAAGCTCTCAGAACTGAGGAGTGAGGTAGCTTCAGCAAAACACAGGGCACCTCAGTCTTCCACCCATTCCAAACTAAGTAGCAGTGGTAGGATTTATGGTGGGTGTGGGCTTTTCTGTCCTGAGGGTCCATACCCAAACCTTCTTATGTAGTTTGCGTCTCTTGACAACATAGACTTCTGTTCTGTGGCAGCTGGAATACCAAATCACCATGAAGCTTCAAGCCTGTTCTAATGACAGTGCCTCTGTGTCATGCTCTGTAGGGAGAGGTTACAGCAGGACTTTCAGGCCACAGCTGAAGCAGGGAAACCACAGGTGAGACTTATAAGGGGCACACAAGCTACAGAACTGTTGGGTTAGAGACGCAGAAAAACAGATTTGATCAGCTCATGGGTGGCTGTGTCTTAGGCATTTCCCCTCAGAGACGCAGGGAAGATTGGTGAGTTTAATTCTTTATCTTGAGATTATCTCACAGCAGCAACTAGAAGCATAAAAAGCATATGTTTTATCTCACAACTATTTGTATCTCAGGAGCAGAGATTCAGCCTGAATCTCCACATATGTGCATGATCAACCCGAGTTCACATAAGGAGAAATCAAGATTGACTCTTTGGAGAGAGAGAGAGAGAGAGACAGAGAGAGAGAGAGAGAGACAGAGACAGAGACAGAGACAGAGAGAGAAAGACAGAGACAGAGAACCTGGCAAATGCCCTATGTTTGCCTCTTGGACATATCTTTGCTAGCTATATAAACATAAGCAATCTACCTCTGTCTGAAGCTGGGATCCCTCATTCCCACAGCTAGCAATAGAGATATTACTCATATCACATGGATATTAGGTAGATTAGGTGAAATCAAACAAAAGCAGACAAGATAATACCTATGAACATTAAGGACTCCATGTTCAACCATTCTTATTTCCCCCAAAGAAATACACCTTATCCAGTTTTGTACAATAGGAACAAAAACAGAAAGAATAAAAATTTAAAGTTTTATATATATATATAATATATATTATATTATATTTATATATATTATATTTTAGTATACAGAAAATTATGCTCTTCTAAAATGTACTGTACAGTCCATGGCCTGGCGGTGGTGGTTGTGCACACCTTTAATCCCAGCACTAGGGAGGTAGAGGCAGGTGGGTCTCTGTGAGTTTGAGGCCAGCCTGGTCTCCAAAGTGAGTTCCAGGAAAGGTGCAAATTTACACAGAGAAACCCTGTCTCGAAAAACAAAACAAAAAAAAATGTACAGTCCAAAAATATTCCATGTGCTTTTATAAATTGACTCATGGGAATGTAAATTGGTTCTCCATGTTTAGGTTCCATAGACACTGTCAATATTTGAGTTCTTGATAGATTCTGCATAGATTCCCAAGTCGTCCACAAGCACCATAAAACTAATTGAACTTGGCTCTTATAAGGATGAAGAGCTACAGCTAAATTCCAGAAAGAGGATGGCATCTTTCAGAAATGCAAACAATTCTGAAGTCTAAAGAACACTTTCAAGGTAGAGGAATATCAAAAGAATTTGCCATAAAGAAATTTGAAACAAAGAGAAAACAAAGCAGATACACAGACAGATACGACAATGGCGGATTGGCTAGAAGATAGATGATACATGAATTCAATAGACGGATGATGAAGAGTGAAGAGAGAGATGGAAGAGCAAGACAGAGAAAAGACTGAGACAGGTTTATAACAGATAGAGAAAGTAGATGTTGATGAGAGGGAGAGACAGAGAGATAACATAGCTGTGTTTTATTCAATGACTATATATGAACTCCCAAATTAAACCCTAATCACTGTCCACTGAAGAAGAGTTAAGATTGAGAGAGAGAGACCATCTCTAATGAGAATTGTAGAACCCGTCTCTAGACTGCCTGCCTAGTCTGGACACAATGTACACTCAAATCAAATGTTTCAACATACAGGTCACCCTTTGTGGTGGTCACTATACCACAGACTTAAAAAGAACCATGTTTAAAATGCTCTTGG